GGGCCTGCGGGAGGGTGGAGGGGACTCTAGCTGAGAGCAGGGGTGTGTGTGGGGGTGTGCACTTGGCTGGGAGATTCAAGTAAATGACTTCTCCTTTTTAATTTTAAATTGTATAAATGGCTCTAGATTAAACTTTTGAGATTAGGGAGCAGGGATGCAATAAACAGACTTAAAACATATGAAAATGACTCATGAAAACGCCTTGTGAAGATATAAAGACGATGTGTTCCTTGTATGCTGAGGGCAACACAGAGGCTAGCAGAGGGCGGACGAGGTGCCAGTCCTCGTCGGTGGACGTGCCTGGTGGTGCCCATTATGCTGCGGGAGAAATGTGTCTGGCACAGCACACACGGTGCCATGTTCGATAAGGACAGGGTAGGCTGTTTAAAATGTGTGCTGGCTCTGGGTCGTGACTTTCCAATGGCCCACTGCCCGCCTTTGTGACTTGGAGAGCCAGAGTCACAAGCCCCCACTGGACCCCTGCTGCCTCCTGCTGTGGAGGGCCTGAGGCTCGCCACAGACTGCCTGTGTCCACAGAGGGCAAGATGTCAGGTGGGAGAAGACAAAAACCACCGTCAGCTGCATGACTGGTCCAACGTCAAATGAAACCACTTTACTTCCCATTATGTCCCCACAGGAATTCGCCCTGATATGGACCAGACAAGGTAGCCTGCTGGTCACATAACAGAGCAGCCCCCAAAGCCAGGAGGACAGCCAGGGCCCTGCACGGGAATCAGCGTATCCAACAGCACCAGTGCCTGGGGTCAGCTGCACAGCCAGGTGGCCACTCCACAGGACGGTGGCTAAGGCCTGAGCTGCTCCCACGGAGCTGGAGGGTGCTCTGCTCCCAGTCCTGCAGGAAGGGCTGCCTGCTCACCCACAGGACCTCTCCAGCCCTGGTCCACCAACACCCCGGCACAGGTGTGTGCCATGCTGAAGGACAATGGGAAGCCGTCTGTCCACCACGCGGCAGGCCCTTCAAAAGAAGGCCTTTGGCCAAGCCCACAGCTCCAGACTCTACCAGCTACAGGCCCTGCCTGGAGTGCAGCTGCTGGTCCTCCAGGAGTGGACGGGTCAGGTCCTCACGACAGGTGGCCCCACAGCAGCAGGCAGCTGGGGCTGGCCGTGGGCATGGGCTGCAACCTGTCAGTCATTCATGTCACCACCACAGACCAGCATCAGCGTACCCAGCGCTGAGCTCTCATCTGACCCCAGCTAGAGTGGCTCTGGGGTGAATCCATGGGGCCAGGCTTGTCCCACCTGGATGGACTTGGTCCTGCCTGATGACCGGGGAGACTCACAGAGGCCATTCCACGGAGGCAGGGAAGGGCTCCTCGGGCCATGAAGGACCCACGAGTCTGGGGCCAGAGTCCTGGCTGGAAGGCGCTGGGTGCCTCACCCCCAGCACCTGTCTGTGCAGGAGCCGCCTTCACAGCAGCCATCCTGCGGGAGCTGCGGTCCATCCTCTGGGCAGAGGAACAGTGTGCCCAGGAGCCGAGGGAGGGCTGGCCGTGGAGGGAGCCTGGACCCTGGACCCGCGGAGCCTGCACTCTGCAGGTGCTGGTGTGTGACTCAGGGCTGGCAGGGCACATCGCTGGCTCTAGATACCTCCTCCTCCCATAAAAATGTCCTGTGGTGCCTC